TGGTTCAAATGTGAATTTTAGGAGAATTTTTTTTTTGTTTTTTTTTTTGGAATAGCAGTATATATTTTTAAAATTTATTAATGAATTTTACTAAAAGTATTTATGTCAATAATTAGAGATTTAATTTTTTTTTTTTTTTGACAACCAATCACATTTGATTTGTATTTTTAGTTATGTGTAGAATTATTTTTTTCTGAAAATAAGCAAGTTTTTTAGTTGGTTATCTGGATAAAACTTTAGTAATGGGTCAACTAAGTCTAGTTGAAAGTCACCTTATTTGGTTATGAATTTTTTTTTATAAAAAAATGAGTTTTCATTATTATTTTTTGTTTTTTTAATTCTTGAAGTTTTTTAATCATTTAAAAAAAGGGTTTTGTTTTTAAGCTCCCTAATAATAACAATTTTCTGCATATAAAGACATTAAAATCGTAATACTACTGAGGTCCGCTAACACAAATACCCAGCGCATTTTATAATTTGCTTACCAAAATACGCTATACGTCTGTCTTCTTCAGATGAGGTTAATTTTTTTGGACCTAAATTGGGCGCAATTATCAATGCGTGTTTTTAAACCTTTTCAATCTCAATTTTATATCATTTCTAGTTGTAGGAAGTTGAAGAGACATTCAAAGGAATTTGTGTTGGAATTAGTTCGATGCCTCTGAGCAGACGTACGACAGGTTGAATGTTGACAAAGAATCACCAAGAGAGCTTAACGAGTATTGTCTTAAATCCTGACCAGAGCTTCGATTCTCGACTTCCAGATCTTCTTCGACATGTATGCATTATTATTTTTTCTTTTCATAAAAGAAATTTAATAATGTATATACTATTACAATCTGTTTGCTTACTGTTCATTGACTAAGTATAATATAGATAATTATCAGTTCAAGACCCATTTGCAACCAGTAATACAAAAGTCATCTTATTATATCTTATCTACTGGTTGCAAACATATATATATATATATATTATGATACATACATATATATATATAACACATGTCAAGCACATATATATATATATATATATATCTAGTGTTGAAATATAAATCTTCAGAGGTTCAAAATTTCTCTGCAGTGTTTTGATATAAGTTTTTATTTGATTTTGGGGTTAGTAGAATTGGGATTGTTTCTTGGAAAAGCAATATTTGGACCCTAGTGAAGAATATTGGAAAAAGAAGCTTGAAGGAAGATGGCAAGCAGTACCGAGCGAAAGCCTTAAAAGTGATCCAAAGAAATGTTTGAATTTTCTCTGGAATTCAACCAGAGAAATTCATACCATTAAGTTAAAGAAAATCTAATCACCAAAAGCTCATAGAAACTATTAATTTGTTTGTGCAGGAAATTTGATTGAATCAAGCGCAGCAAAACCAATGACAAAGTTGATCAAATCAGACCGTTTTGTCGTTCCAGGAGAAATTCTGGACCAGAAGAAATTTGAATATTTCTTTGGGTTGAATCAGAGAAATCCTTGAGGAAGTCCAGAATTCTTTGCTTCCAACTGATGATGGGTCCTTTCCTTCAACTGTCAAAGATTGAAGACGCTTTATGTGCATTGTGGGGCTTCTTATTATAAGACTTCTGTGTTCTATATTTTGGTAAATTTCTCTGCTTGCCTAACATTGTTGTTTCTCTAAGTGTGTAATTTATTTGGATGTTTATGTTTCTCAATTATTTTCTCACGCAAATTATCCTGTGGCTACTACTCTATTGGTGAGTGGCTGAATTTCTTCTGGCTCATTTATGATTTATTTCATTAGCCATACTTTCTTATTGTGTGTCTATTTCTCTGGCACATTTATAATTTTCTCTGGCAACATTATGTTTATGTCTTTGTTCTAATTTCTGCTGCATATTTTATTTTGTTCAAATGCTGCCATTCCTCAAAATTCGCTGTTGTTGTAATTTTCTCTGTCATGTTTATTGTTGCTTACCGTTAGCTTAATTTCTCTTGTTGTGTAATCATGCTACCTTTGTAATTTTCTCTGGATTTAATGCTTATGTTTCATTCTTAGAAAGACAAAGCGCAGAAGCAGCACAACCCGAAACCCGAAAGAAATCAAAAGTCGGTGTGTCTGCGTCTTAGATCTTAGATCAAAACGCCAGTGCAAGCACCAGAACACCATCAAAAAAAAAACAAGTTCAAGTTGAAGAAGCAAATAAGCATCAGGATCAAGGACACAACTCAAGGAGATGATTTTCTCAATCAGCCTACAAGCTTAAACATTTTCTCTGTCATTTTATTCTGATTATATATAAAATACCTACGATATTCTCCTATATCATACCAAAGAAAGTCCAGAATCATGAATAGTGCACAAAAAAAAAATAAAGAAAATTGAAAATGCAAAGGAAAAGCCATATCAGAAAACCTTTGAAAAGTGCAAACATTATAAAACACATCAAAAAACACCAACTTATAAATCCAGAGAATTTGTAATATTTATCATTTGTAATACAATCATTGAATGTTTCTCTGGACTACAAAGGAAAAAGTTCAGAGAAATTTGTGAACTTATATTCAACTTTCAATATTACATAAAACAAAACACATTAACATCAAGAGACAAATATATATAAACACAAAGCACATAAAAAATCACAGAGAGATCTGTATGTCACATAAACATCAATTCAAAAATTTTAAAAAAAAAAATACAAACACACTATACTACTCTATTGGCTACGGTCGTGTCAATTTCTCTACCTACTTACACATTTTCTCTGGTGATTTTCATGCACTAC